AAAAATATTGAATGTCAATCTTTTGGGGAATCTGAAGCCTTAACGCGTTGGAAGTTGTTTTTGGTTCACATTTTGTGTGTGAAAGCCATCAGACTTTTCTATTAAAACAAAAAACAGAATCCAATTCTTAGTGCAGTTTTGCCACTTACCTAAAACTGATTCATGTCGGTTTCGTATTTCGGTTTATGCAGTACATTTTGTCGCATGGATCGAGTTCGGAAAGGACGAACACACTTTATTAATGTAGTTTTGGTAACATTTAGGATAATCTGGTGATGTCAGACCCCCACCCCAAAAAATGGTACCTTTGGTATCTTTTTAGACCTGTCGGCACCGATAGCCCCCAGACTGGGCGGCTGTATTTTGATGGCCTTACCTGTACCACTCCAGTCCTTTATCGTAAAATCTATCGAAAAAATGCGGCTCGGCCCCCACGGCTCTGACATCGGGGTGAATCCGGAGAAACTCCAACAGCGCCCGGGTGCCCCCCTTCTTCACGCCGATGATGATCGCCTGCGGGAACTTTTTACTCCCAAAGCTATTGAACACGGATAGGGTGCTGTCAGCGTCTTCCCTGTCCCCGTCCGAGATCTGCCTCTGCACATGTCCGATCTGTTGCAGGATGGAGTGCAGTCTGATCGAATCCGGGAGCTCTCGCGTCCCGGAGCCGGGAGCGGTCCTGTTCCTGTCCGCCGATGCGCTCGGCTGGCGACCGTGCTGTGGGGACGCGTCCTGTCCGTCGTGCTTGATGCTGGTGCCGGTGAAAATCTGCTGGTCGTACAGTGGCCTCGGCAGGGAGTCGCAGTAGCCGGTCAGACAGTAAAAAAAATAAGTAAAAATTATGATCATGGTAAAAAACACCGATACTCTGGACTGCGCCTTCAGAAGTCCAAGGTTAAACCTAGTTCTCCAAATGCTACATCCCATGAGTCGCTATCCTGATCAAAATGCAGCAGGCAAAACGTAGGTAGCATGCCTTATGACCCTCCCTTGCACAACCAGAAAACTCCAAAATGCTGACACTTTAAAAGAAAAAAACCAACAGGGAAACTCGCCCGTTGCAGGTTGGAGAAGCAGGTCCCGTCTGCCAACTGTGGGAAGTGTGTCCATCTGTTACCAAGACAATTTCCGCAAATATGTCACGCGTGTTATGCGTTTATTCATGATACAGAAAAGATCAGCCGCCTCTAGTAGCAAAGTTCTTGAACAGAATTATTTTTCAAATGTTCGGGCGATGTTCAGGCAAACGGGCACACTCTTGTGCTCTGCCGCACGGGGTAGCGTGTCTTTTGGAGGGCCTGCAATTATTTTAAACCTCGAGTTCACTGACCATCGGCCCCTTTACGTCCCAGTCTTCAGTTGCGTGATTAAGCGCTCTCACAGTCTCTCTCTCTCTCCCCTTTCTCTCTCGCACACACACGCGATCTGAATCCACGATTTCAATTCTCACACTTCTCCACTCCTGCGAGAGTAATCCACGCCCCGTTTAAGGAAAAAGAAAATCCCACCCCTTTCGCTTTGCTATTCTTAGACGTTCTTGCGAGTCTTAACTCTGCTAACATTCAGAGTGTTAAGGCTACTTCAAGTTCTCGGGGGACAGGAAATAAATTGGGGGGTCGTGGGTGTTCGCACTAATGGGACAGGTAGCTCAGATGGGGTGACTGAGTATCTAGGAGTCAGGAAATATATTGATGACCTGATGAAGAGATACTGTATATCTAATCCGACATTCTTCTTTTTAGGGTGCAGATGGAGTTGTCATCTGTCCTCCGAATCGCCCAGGGCAGCGAGTCTTTCATCAGGGGTGACCTGTAGGATCATCTCTCGCTGAGTTGTGTCACTAATGCCTGGGTACAGTATTTCTGAACCCGTGTCACCGCGCTCAACTTCGGAGCATTAAAACACCTACAGAGTTGAATCAGATAGTTGATGTTGGAAAAGATGGCAATTCGCACCGCATTCACAGTAGAATCCAAGAAGACATGTTTAAAACCATACCAGGACAGTCTTCGTTTCCTGACTTTATTTTCCACCGACACAAGCACTGAAACAGCTTGTTTTCAAAATTAGATTGCAGCCTGTCCATATTTTGACGAATTAAACTTTTTTTCCTACTAGATCTTTTTTTTTCCATTTATCATATTATTTGCGTACGTTTTCGAATATAAACGGCTTTGGTGAAATCGTGTAATAAAATAATCCTGCTACCAGCGCTTTGTGATAGTCCCCTTTTCTCGCAGTCTCGCTGATGTTTACCTGTATTGGCATGAATTCGATTTCAGTATATATTATACATAAACGGCGCGTTTGAGTTAATTAGGTACTCCTTTGTGAACTGAGTCTAATTACACAATTACTCTTAACACAATCCGGGCCGCGCTCCCGGCGGCAGTTTTTCGAGCTGTCGCTTAAACGCCGAGATGTGTCGCCTTACTTGCCTATTGGGTGCAGTATCGATGGTTTTATTAACAGATAAACAGATATCTAGCAGACGATGGGATATTATTGCGTCCGAAAAGGTCCGGAGGGCAACATTTTAATCCAGTTTAATCTCACAGGGAATACTAATTGCTTCTTGCTGCGAGGGTTTTCGGGATGATTGATGCGTGCTAAAGAAAATAATTTAAACAGCATTTAAACGTGATTACGAAAATAGCTAAATAGAATCACCGTCTTCTAGAAGCGACTTCGAGACCAAGCTTATCAATATCAGCATAATATTCAAGAATAATGATGTCGTTTTGGGTTTTAAAAAAATGGTAAAACGGAGAGCAGCGTTTTCAAGTCTCAGTCTAGAACATGGGATCAACGCAATCAAGCAAAAACTACGAGTGGTTTCTCAATATAAATGACGATAAAACGTTATTTTAAAAAAAGACTTAGAAGGAATTCATCGACAGTACTCCCAATAATTTTTTTTGAGTAATTCCGATACTGGTCCTTTAATTTCAGAACTTCGTTAATTTTATTTTAAAAAGGTGTTTGGATCGGACAAAACTAAATATATGTAACAGATCGCTTAAGCGGCTGAAACTGGTGTGTTGGGAGCCTCGCTTAGTGTTTGGCACAGCGTGTTTGACGGGCGGTCTCCGGGGGGCAGAGCGCACAGGGGTCTCCTCAGCTGCCCTTCTCCAGGCACCTCCAGCGCGAACTGTGTAACAGGGTGGCATTTCCGCTGCTTGTGTGGGTGTCTCCCGGGGACTGGCGCAGCGAAGGACTGGGTCGAAAGGCGCTGGCGATTCGGTGGGGATCGCTCTCCGTCACCTGTCAGTCAGCCGACTAAAAAGCCCACCTGCCCGGCCACCAGTCCGCACCGGACCGCAGCAGGCGGCTACCGTCCGGCCCTTCAGCTCGCAGGCTAACGCCGCCGGACAGGGGCCATCTGCCGCAAGGCAGCGACACGAAAAACCTGGCTGTCTCTCTAACGGCCGCCGGAGGGTGACGTCTGAAAACATTTAACATCTTTAAATCGACGACGCTGCCGATCTGAGGCGGGTTCTCAAGGCGCTAAGGGCTTTGGTTTTTTTTTTAATTGGAAATAAATTACAAGATTAAAAAAAAAAGACCGCTAACGTTGTTTCATTATAAATCAGCTCCTGGCACACGTGAAGCAGCAAGGATGACACACTCGTTGGCTTCATTTCGGTCCTCGCTCAGTGATTGTTACCAGAGTACAAGGTTAGATTTAAAATGACGCATGTGTTTTTTTTTTTTAAAGAAATGAACGAAATGATCATTCTGCCTCTGATCATTTTACAGTTGCAGTACGAGTACGAGACCGCAGCACTGTTCGTTTTGTCCTGGTCAGCCCGTGTCGCGCTGTGTATCGAGGCTCCTAGCCGTGCGCACTCCCGAAACCTCATAGTGTTCCACCCTCTTTCATCCATCAGGGGGCCGCTCCAGCGAGCCCAAACGAGAGCTTCAAGCCCTCCGCTCCCCGGCTACGCCACCCCCTGCTCACTCCAGTCCTGGATTACCTGAACGGGGTCTGGTGTTTCAAAGCGCCCACCTCAAAGACGGCTCCGTCAGCCCAGGTTTAAAATCGCATTATGTTACAGCTTTATCGCCTAAAGAGCCTTTTGAACCGTGACGCAAGCCCTTCTCTTCTGTTGAGCGACAGAGAGATCAGACACAGGCGGTTACAGCAGATTAAAGACCCGCTGTCACAAGAAGCTCGTTTTAAGGCCAATGCTTAGTCTCCAGCACAGGTCCTGGGCAGCCCTGTCCCCATTCTGGAGATCTCCAATAAATCACCGTTTTCTCAAGATGTGGGACAATTCCATTGTGGTCAACGGAACAGGTCACTTGTTAGATTAAGTAATTAATAGATCTCTTAAGGCTAAATTCGAAGTATTCTTCAGTCCCCCGTGGTTCTCTTAATTGAACAGGTTATGTTCTGGATCCATCAATCACTTACAGGGGTTGCCAATCTTTTAGAAAGTGTAGGAAGAACTAGACTGGAGCAGATTCGGGGAAACACTCTGGGATTTTTTAATGACCACAGAGAGCCAGGACCTCGGTTTTACATCTCATCCGAAGGACGGCACCTGTTTACAGTATAGTGTCCCCGTCACTATACTGGGACATTAGGACCCACATGGACCGCAGGGTGAGTGCCCCCTGCTGGCCTCACTAACACCTCTTCCAGCAGCAACCTTAGTTTTTCCCAGGAGGTCTCCTATCCAGGTACTGACCAGGCTCCCACCTGCTGAGCATTAGTAGGCTGCCAGTGGTGAGTTGCAGGGTGATATGGCTGCAGGCCGTTTACCCCTACAGCACGTATTGGGGCTGTAGGAGGAAACCTGGACAATCTGTTTCCATTTGGAATGGCCAGAGATTTTAATTTCCGTGTAGAAATTCAGAAGTCCCTTGACAACTGCCATTTTTAGAACACAAAATAATGAAAAAAGGGGTTCAATTAAGCAATTAATAATCCAGATGGAATGAAAATCAGCAGTCACTGGGACCAAGACTGGGAAACCCTGCATTAAGATGATTGTAGACTATTATGTATGCATACGGTACACATACGGGCTTAATTACAAATAGATGAATATTGCACATGTGCTATTTGTAATGCTTTGCAGCAAACCAGGGCTTTTAATGTAAATCTTGGCTTGAATGTCATTTTGCTCGCGTACCCATAAATATTACAAAAATCTGAATTTTTCCACTAATTAGAAATGTTAGATTGCAACACATTGACATTACTACAGCATTATACATAATTAAGTCCCTCAAATGGCAAAGTCGTTTATTTTCATTTCGATGCGTTAATTTAATTTTGCTTAGCAATCAGATTTTACAGTAAAACCTTACCCTGACCTCACAAAAGAGCAGCGAGGGTATTTTTCTATAAGGCTATGTATATACAGTATATGCACACAAAACAAAGTTAAAGGTTTTCTTTCAGTGCTTCTATTATGAGGCATGCTTAAACGATATTCTGCAAGCTAGTTAATTGAAGTCATATGGAGGCCTACTAGAGCCATCTGAAAAGTGGTCTTAATTGTGCATATCTTCAAAATAAAGTCCTCTGTACCCAAATGGTGAAGATGACGTGTGTCCTGTTCTTCTTAACCAGATGTCATGATATCATCTTGTCTTTTTTTCCTAGTTAATACGATTAATTATTTCTACAATTCAACCAAAAGCAGCATGAAAAACATATGCAGAGAGAGAGAGAGACAGAGAAGACACAAACGGCATATTTTTCAAATGAGATTCAGCTCCACACACCGCTTTCTACGAAGACAATGAAAAAACAAAAAACGCCCAAGGAAAGAAAAGGCATTTTCCTGAATTCACAGAAATATGTCTCAGTACACTGAACAGAGGAATGCAGGCAACTGAAGAGATCAGATTTTGCCACAGCTGGGAGACAAATTATCACAGCCCAGACCTTTCAGGTACAGCAACTGCAAACTCAGTAAGACACATTAAAGCTAATAAGAGCATAATAGCCCTATTTGCATGTGAGAATGAAATTAATTGTGCCTAATTAACATATATGCAAAATGAGCGTTCAATTTGTTGTGAAAGGCAAAAACTTGAAGGTTAAGCTCCTTATGCTATTAGGGAAAACACATTAATTGTGCTAATTAGCTTTAATTACCATATACAAATGAGGTTAATGTGGAAACTGGCTTACTCTCGTGTCTAAAATGTTGGAGGAAAAAATAAATTGGGCCAACATTTGCTGGTATTTACATATTGATATTTATTGAAAGCTACACACTTCCAAGCTGAAGTTAAGCAATAAAGGGACTTACTGCTGACAGAGGTCCTCCTGTATTTATCTACTCGCATTATAGAATTATATGGGAGGGGATGGGTTAGGTCTTTATAGCTTATAAAAATCTATTTAAAAATGTGCCCCCAAAGCTTGCAAATAATGATTATTATTTTTTAAGTAAAACTAAGTGTACCAAGAAGACTCTAATCCCTCCATTGTTTGAAAAAAATAAATAGACAAACATTAAATGACTTTGTTCTTCCAGCTATGGGTATGATTATTATTACATGGAAATCTGTATTGTCTTCGTTGCTGTTGTCTTATTGAAACAATGAGAAGAGACAAGCTCTGCAAGAGGTTTTAATCAAAAGCTAACAGATAATTTGCTCTTATTTTCCTTTACTGCAGGTGCTAGGGGTACATTGTGATGCTTTTTGTCTGTATTGAAAGGGGTGAGGGCATAGCTCTTGTGAATTTGGCAGTGGGGGGGTAGGAACAGTCTCTTCCTTTGTTATTTCTGTGGGGGGTACCCTGTCCCGGTCTCGTTGTTGTGAGGATGTGGTGAGGGGGTCTTTCTTCCAGACATAATTTATTCATTTCT